CCATTAGCACTATGAGTATCACTCCAAAACACCCATCAGCAACACTATTCAGCAACAGTATCAGCAACACTACTCAGCAAGCTACCAACGCCACCAGCTACCACAAAGGACAACAAATAGAGGACAATGCCCCAACACTATCAACAACAACAACCACAACAAATCAACAACACCCATCAGAAACAGTTTTTCTCCAGCACCTGCAACACTTTTCCCCAAGCAACACTCATATCCATGTACATTATCATTAGCGACACTGAGTGGCTATTGCCCCAAAATACAGCAACCCTAATTCAACAAATCAACAATAACAATGAATTGACAACAACAAATTGAAACTCAGCAACACTATCGCAAATCAGCAACACTCAGCAACACTAGCAGGGACACTCAGCGACACTATCAGCAACTCTATCAGCAACACTATCAATGCCACTCACCAACATAACCAACTGAAGTTCCTCAAGGACAATGCAACAACCAGCAGCAAGTGCACAAAGAATAACGCAACATCCAGTAACAACAGTCAGGGCCATTATGGAGTCCCAATCTGCAGCCTTTGAAGCAGCCTTTGAGTTAGAATGAGATGTGGAAACTTTGTTATGAAAGCTCAAGTGATGAGGAGGTTGTTGATGATACTGAGCCTAACTATGATTCTGAGGCTTCTGGAATGAGTCACAAGGAGGCAGCACAAGCAGAGTTCTTTAATTCAATCACACAGAGCCAGACAGCTTGGAACTGGGACAATGCTGTTGAGCTCATAATACTGAGTTCTTCTATTGCAAGAATGGATGTATTGTTGATAGCAGTCTCAACTTTCCAAAGGTTCCAGCCGGTTACAAACAAAGGTTGAGAAAGAAGAACCTGAAGACTGGAATGATGTTGATAACCAAGGTGGTTGGCACCCCTATTACTACAAACCCAAGTTCAAAGCAGGTACAGGGAAACACAAATGACACTTTCTTCCTTCTGAGAGCAAGCCTGTTGAAATTTCTAAACCCTTACTAACTGGTCTTGGGAAGGAACCTATCAGCAGGGAGGAAAAAGGGTGGAAGTGTAATTACCTAGGGTGGGATGGTACTGTTAAGGATCCTAACAACCAGTTTGCAAGGAAGTTTGCTACTAGAAGAGATAACATGTTTCCAGATGAGAGGAAGGGCAAACTAGATATATTCAAGCTACAGTAATGTGGGCTCACAAAAGACCACATTGAAAATGGAGATGCATTCTTCTTCTACCAGCTGGTGCTTCCTGTTGCCCCAGATTTGTGAGAAGCTCAGCACTACCAAATTGAACCTGAGAAGAAGCATACTTATTACAACAAGGTGATGAGATATACCAATGTCTACATCTCTGATTCCAATGAAGGGGAAGAACACCAAGTGAAACCTGTTACCTTACCTGAAGCAGTTCAGTTTGATGGCATCCTTTTTATGCATGGAGCTTGTGAAGGAGCAAGTGAAAATATAAATTATAGATGGGATGCGAAAGATCTTTCATTAAATGAGGACATTGCAAACACAATGACTGTTCCAGCTGATCTGAGCAAAGGAACCAAAGCCTACAGGAGAGTGCATTGTTCATTCCAGAGCACTGGAGCTTGTAATTTAGGATCAGTGAACTCTATTTTAACCTCATCTCTTTATATTCACCAGAAGGAAAGGGGCAGGGCATGGAGAAGCAGCGTTGGGGAACTGAAATGAATGAGTCTTGTGAGATTTATATTTATACTTATGGCAAACTAGACCATATTGATATGTACATCTCCAGAGCCAACATTTGTTACAAATTGTTGAAATACTACCATGCTACAATTAATCATGTGGCTGAAAGCCTTGGCCATTGCTACTGCATACAATATCTACAAAGAGTGCACTGATGGAAGCCTTGGTGATGAGTGGAAGGAAAGCAATCTGATGAGCTATGGCGAGTTTCATAAGAGGCTTGCCTTGCAGATGATAAGGTACAATCCAGTTGAGCACGCATATAATTGTGACACTTGTCTGCAACAGTACACTCAATTAAGCCCAACAGTGAGGAGTGCCAGGGCTACTAGAAGAAGGGCTTGCAATACTTTCCTCAAGAATGGTAAGTTGCTTGGATATCACAATTTGCAGACCATTGCAGAGAACCAGGTCAATGGTAAATTCTGCTTCACTCAGACTCAGTACACAACTCATTGGGAGGCAATGGTGCCCACCAAGTCAAGGAGCAAAAATATTTGTTAAATGTGTGGTAAGAATACATACAGCATGTGCAAACTATGCAAAGCCCCTCTTTGTATCACTGTCAGCAACTCAAAAAAGAGGGATTCCAATGGAGATCCCATTTGCAAGTTTTGTCACAGCAACTTCCATAATTATGAATGGTCTGGGCTTGGAAGAAGTGACCACTGCTCTAGAATAAGGAATGACAAAAGAACTAAAGATAGGAGACACTGGAAATCTTCGAGCAATGAGGTGTTGAGAGATAACTCTGAGTACATGAAGTCCTTATTGGATATAGAGGACATAGAGGACAAGGCTGTTGAAGACAATGTTGAGGACACTGCTTGTGACATTGAAGTTGTTTCCCCAAGCAGTATAGATGCCACAGTAAATTGTGACCTCACTGAACCAACTACAGACAGCACTGCGTTACTAAGCAACAAGTCAAGCGCTATGTTACTAAGCAATGAGTCAAGTACAGTTGGTGCAGTGGTTGGACCATTAGAATCAGTATAATGACAAACACAATAGTAAAAATAGTAATTATTGAATATGGATAGTTTGCTCATTTGTTTGCTCCTCTATTTGCTTTGTTGATTGCTTTGTTGGTTGCTTTGTCGGTTGCATTTTTGGTTGGTTAATGGGTTGCTTATTGGGTTGTTGTTTCTCACAATCCATCTCCTTGTAGTCTGCAGAACAATCCATCTCCTTGGTAGTGTGCAGAATCAAAGGAAAAGCTTTGATCTATGTAAAACGGATGTCCCTACTCATCAAAGGCAAATTCTTTTGCACATTGAGTGCAAGGAGTGTAGTTGTTGTCCCGCTTCTTCAATACTGTCCTGCAGATCTCAAAGAACCACTCGTGTTAATTGCCAACGCTCATCTCTAGAGGAAGCAGGGGCTTTGCAAATCAAGCCAATTCAATAGCCTTTGCAAGGTCTTTGTTTTTCTAGCACCAGGTCTTCTCCAAACAGCCAGTTCAGGTCTCATTCAGCTCCTGTATGGGGTAGGCTTCTTATGCCACTCACAGTCGACAATCCACTTGCAGTCTTGATTCAATACAAATTCTTGGAACTGTGGTGAAGGATCATTGATTATTTCTCATGGAGGGGGCTCGGAGCTTTGGGGGGAGGTGCTGAGGTATCCATAACTATTTGAATCTTCCATCCAAGGCCTGGATCAATTTGCTGTTGCTTTATTAACTCTGCTGCTTCCTTGCCTTTGATGCTGGGTGCCACTTCATCTCAATGTTGCCCTTTACAAGTGTGAGCTTGTGCTTTGGCATCCAGTGCTTGTAAGCACAGGCCTTGGGTCCTTTGAAAACAAGCATCTGGGCTTGACGCCTTGCCTTCTTTGTTTTTGCTTTCCTTCTGTTTAATTTTGTCCTCTGCTTTGGATGAAGACAACCAAACAAGAGTGCTCTAGTAGTGCGCTGTGGAGGGGATGAGTCTGGGGAGCTTGCAGGGAGGGTATCGTCGATATACATCCTTGTTGAGGTCTTCTACAAGAAAGTCTGTTGTTTTTATCAGTACTTCCTCAGCTTGCTTGTTTTCTTGCTGCTTGGTTTTTTCAGTATCCTCTATTTTTAGCAGGGGTACTCTCCTCTCTCACAGGATGTATTGTTCTTGATTGATTTAAGGAGAAAGAAATAGGATTGATGCATCATGTTGAAGCACAGAGAAATGCTTCCATCATAGTTCCTTCTGATAAACCAGAAAGAGAACAAATGTAAAAAGGATGTGTAATGACCAAATATGAGGTAACAAGATAAGTGGCCTAATTTAGTGAGCTAAAAATAGCAGTTGAGGTACAGTGTCCATGAGTGTCTGTTGTGGGACTGGAATGCATTGAGTCTAGTACTGGATACGTTGAGTCTAACTAGTCATTACACAGTGAAAAGATAGCCCAAAATCGACACACAGTAGAAAAGCACATAGAATGTTAACTAAGGGTCTACTCACTCTAACAGATGTATCTTGGTCCCCAACAGACCCTGAACAGTGATAAGTACACTGTTGTGATCCTATTAAAGAGAGGAAGATGGTCGTGTGGGGGAGTTGGGGGGTGATAGGGATATTAAACGATATATGTGTACATATCAAGTATTAAATCTGCTATTTTTGCATTGCTACAGTTATACGATTTTGGTGGTATCATGTCTACACGAAGATGCAACCCCTTCATGAGTTTTGGATAACTGGCATAACATCATTAATCTATTTTTATAACAATAAAATTCTCATGATAAATCAGAATACTTGAACATTGACCGTAATTTGTGGAAAATTTCCCAAAACGATTGACAGCATTACGCCTGATATCAACTGCTTTCGACATACATGTTTGATGATACCGTGAAAGAAATTAGTACATGATTATGTTTTGATGAACAACTGGTAAAGAAAAGAACAGATATTTAATTATTCTTCAACTTCTTAGGCCAAAAAATATCTTGAACCACTTCCTGTCGTGACGATTTCCCCCTGATCTATTCTTCCTTTCGTGATCATGCTAGTTGTTACTCGCTCCCCGTCTCTGAAATTCGGTGATCCAGAAATTATTCCAGAGATAGATCCATCAGAATTCATCTGCCATCGGTTCATGGTTGGCACACCCTTCGGTGCTGATTTTCCTTTGCGAGCAGGGGCCTTATTGACTGGCACCTTTTTCTTTGGGGCGGCTTTAGGTTTACCTGGGATCGCTTTCGGAGACTGCTCCTTACGAGGCGACGGGGCTTCATCACCACCGCCGAATCCAAAAAGCGAAAAAGTAGCTCGGGGTTTAGCCTTTTCGATGGCTTGAGCTGCAGCCTTTGCGTCTCGTTCCTTCCTTTCTTTGGTTAATGTGATCGTCGCACCAGGCTTGGCACCCGCCAAATCCTTGAAGGCTGCCATCATGTTTGATTTCTTGGTGGCAGGTTCGGCACTTAAGAAGTAACGACTTCTAGACTTGGTAGACACAACTGATCCGTTCTCGATCTTTCCTCGCGAAATCGGCGATGTTTCAACAACGTCACCGTCAGAAAAGTTCGGGGAACCGTAAATTCGACCAGATATGCCACCTGCAGATCAATGAATCAACGAGGGTGAAAATGAGATTTCTTTAAAGAAAACGATCTAAGATCATAAAAGCTAACTTTCATTCACACGTACCATCGGAACGTTTCTTCCAACTCTTAATGACTGGGACTCCTTTTGGTGCCTGCTCCCCTACCGGAGAGGCAGCCCGTGGAGGAGTGCTTTCCTTGCGCTTAAAGAAAGCTGGGCTCTTCGCTGGCGCACTTCTTTTCTGTTGGGCAGCTTGCCTCTTTGCTTCGGCTGCTGCCTTTCTTTCCTGTTCCGCTTGTTTCTTTGCTTCGGCTGCTGCCTTTCTCTGTCCAGCAATTGCTGCAGCTTTGGCTTTTCTATCTTCTTCGGCTTGTCTCTTTGCTTCAGCTGCTGCTGCAGCTTTGGCCTTTCTCTCTTCTTCGGCTTGTCTCTTTGCTTCAGCTGCTGCTGCAGCTTTGGCCTTNGCTTGTCTCTTTGCTTCAGCTGCTGCTGCAGCTTTGGCCTTTCTCTCTTCTTCGGCTTGTCTCTTTGCTTCAGCTGCTGCTGCAGCTTTGGCCTTCCTCTCTTCTTCCGCTTGTCTCCTGGCATCGGCTGCTGCCTTTCTTTGTTCGGCCACTGCCGCTGCTCTGGCCTTCGCCTGATCTTCCGCTTGTTTCTTTGCCTCGGCTGCTGCGGCAGCCTTGGCTTTCCTCTCTTCGGCGACAGCAGCAGCTGCTGCTCTTTTATCTTCTGCGGCTTTTCGTCTTGCTTCGGCAGCTGCCTTCGTTCTTTCTGCGAAGGATTGGCCAACTGAAGGTTGTTTCACAGGAGTGGGTGGAGCTTCTGCAACAGCTTTGGCTGGTTTCTTGATTCCAAAGCCAAAGCCAAATCCTGTTGACTTCTTTTGTTCCTCCTCCAAGTAGTAACTTCAGTTACGAGGAGATAGGGATATTGTAAGTAGGATATCGAAGAAATGGTCCACAGTCACCAGAACACAACTTAAAAACAACATAGAAATAATCAACATGGAAAGAACTCACCTTGAGCCGGAAGTCGTTTTCACCACACTGTTACTGACCGCCCCACTTGGAACAGCTGAGGTGGTGACGAAATCTCCGTCCTTAAAGTTTGGAGAGCCTGATATTTTACCACTAATGGATCCATCTGGATTTTGCTTCCAGTTAGATACAATAGGAACACCAGGAGGTGCATTCATCTTTTGACTAGGTACATCGACCTTCACCTCCTTTTCCTTATCGTTGCCACCGAACAGGTTTCCGAGTGAAATCGTGGTTCTACTCTTTGCTTGACCGACTGACTTAGCTGCAGCTCGTTGACGCTGGGATTTCTCTGCAGCAGCTGCCCTCTCTTTTTGCAGCTGCTTGGCCTTAGCGGCTTGTTTTTCACGAAGTAACTCAACTTGTCGCTTTTTCTCTTCGGCATCCTGCTTTCGCTTTTCTGCTGCTAGTCTTTGGGCTTCCAACTTTTCTTGCTGCTTCTGTTCTTGGATGCGTTTTCGTTCAGCCGCGGCCTGCTTCGCTTCTTCTGCCTTTTGTTTCGCCTCAAGTTGCTTTTGGCGTTTCAGTTCATCGGCCTTCTCTTGTCGCAGACGATTGGCTTCGGCTTTAGCCTCTGCTTCTCTTTTTCTTTTGGCTGCTGCTTCCGAAGCTAGCTTGCTGGGGTCTGATTTTGGTGCTGCTGTTTTTTTCGGTGGGCTGCCTCCCCCAAACTTTGGCATTTGGAATTTGGGTGCTTCAGTCTTTTCGGCTGGTGCCTCCGATGGAAAGATGTACTCAACCTTCTTTGCTGGCGATTCTTTGGAAGGCTTTGGGGTGCCAAAGCCGAACTTTGCTGTAGCCTGTTTCTTTGGTGGAGAGGGAGCAGGAGTAGGGGCAGCCTTTTTCGGAGCGCCAAAGCCGAACAACGGTGCCGCCTTTTGTTTTGGTGGAGCTGGAGCAGCCTTAGCAGGTTTAGGGGAACCCGTCTTTGGTGCACCCAAGCCGAACTTCGGTGCTGCTTGTTTCTTTGGTGCCGGGGGAGCCACTTTTGGAGCAGGGGGCGCTTTCTTTGGTGCACCAAAGTTGAACATCGGTGCCGCCTTTTTCTTTGGTGGTGGAGGTGCCTTTTTCGGTGCCGGTGGTTTTGGAGTTCCAACCTTTGGCAAGCTCAGATTCAACTTCGGCGCCTCGTCTTTCTTCTTTGGAGGTGCCTTTTTCGGTGCAGGCGGTTTTTTCTTCGGAATATCAATTTTCGGCATTTCAAACTTAGGGGTACTTTCCGTCTTTGAAGGAGGTGTTTCCGATGGGAAGGAATACTCGATTTTCTTGGCGGGAGACTTTTTGGGGGGCGGTGGGGCTTCCGATGGGAACGAGTACTCGATTTTCTTAGGTGGGGATTTCTTGGGCGGGGCTACCTTAGGTTTCGGTGCATCAGCCTTTGGAAGATCCAGCTTGGGAGGCTCTGGGATCTTCAACGTACTAATGCTGGGAACGAAACTCTTCTTTTGCGATGTCTTCCCTGGGAGATCCTTGGGGGGTTCCGGGGCCTTTGGTGGGGCCAACGGAGAAGGTTGAATTCCAAGTGCAGATTCCACTTCGGTAATGGCTTTTTTGGGAATTGCCTTGACGTCGTCCACAAAATCTTCTACTGCGTCGAGCGTATCGTCGACTGCATCCTCCACGGCTTGCTTGGTCTTTGTTGCAACTCTTCCCGGTGTGGCCTTGATTTCATCGGCAATGCCGGTGGCGGTTTCCACTGCGGCGTCGGCTACTCTTCCGGGTGTGGCCTTGATCTCATCCACAATGTCCGTGGCGGTTTCCACAGCGGCATCGGCCACCTTTCCGGGAACGGCCTTGATTTCATCCGCTACCTTCCCTGGGATGGCTATGATCTCGTCAGTGGTTTCCTTGACCTTGTTCTTGGCGGACGTGACCGCGGAGTCAATGACAGAATCAATGATCGACACGATGGCTTTGCCAATTGCAGAAGTGGTCCCTCCGAGGGTGGTTCGAACAACTTTTCCCAAGAATCCGTCCGTTACTCCAAGTACGTAACCGAACGTCGACAAAAAGACCGCACCGAATGCAGGTGTCAGAGCAGGAGCAACGTAAAGGTCGATATTTGGGAATTCTGCATTGATGAGGAATCCAACGAAGGCACCTGCCACCAAGCCTCCCAAGCCAGAGGCCACTGCCATCTTTTCTTCTTCGGGAGTCAGACCTTTCGTTGTCTTCTGGAGCTTTTTCTTGATCTGCTTCTGCTCCTTTTGTTTGTTTTGTTGCTGCCATGGCATTTGTGGTGGCTGGGGCGGTTTTGGAGGCTCTGGAACGGCAACCTTTGGTCGTTCTTGCTCTATGATCTCTTTCGCGGGTGGCGCGGAGTCTGCCTCCTTTTCCGCCGTATCTTCCACCGGTGCCTCCGAAGTAGGAGGTGTGGGAGGGGGGATAGGAGGCTTGGGGGTTTCCTTTTCCTTGTCGTCATTGTTGGGTTCCGACAACAGTCTCCATTCCGATCGCCTGGTCTCGATGGATGTGTGTCCGTTGCTCGCAACCAAAGTGTGAGGAGCTGGGCCCGGGTAGATGTTCTCCTTGCTCTTGATAGAACTACTAGGAGGCACGAACGCATGCGACGATGCGCCCAGTATCGTCACCAATACGGATAGGGAGATTGATGATTTCATATCGATCTACAGTTTCGAGGTAGCTGACAGTTTAACCGACGGCAAACCTTATTCTTACGCTATATAACGGAAATAATTTGACTGCGGTGCAGTATCGTTAAAGGTATCTGCCAGAATCCACTCGAAGTTTAGGAACAAGACGTACTCTGTCTGACAAGGATCTATCGTGTGTAGAAGAAGTTAAGTAAGAATAGAAAGGATGCCTTCTAATAACTGACTACTTACTTCTACTTGGATAATCACAGCTACGATCAAGGTATTAGTATACTTTGTCGTTTGTGATTTTGATAAGTGTGCCAACGTATTGACGATATTCGTTATGCTGTTCTTTAAGATAGCGAAATGTAGCCGTAGTTTGTGCGGTACGAAGGCACCAAATTGGGTTTTGGATCTTGAAGCTGATTTGATTTGGATGATGTCTCTCTTCGGATTGGCTGTCGCCCAATTGATAGGCGTATCGTGGGAAGAGCCAAATGCAAATCAAAGTCAGAACGGAAACGCAAGCACCTCCAACATGTGTGTTGAAAATATCAGCAGAAAGATGAGGTGTCAGTCCTCCGTACCGTTATGAACTAGTGCGCTCGTTTCGATTTTTTAGATACCTTTCAACTTCTCTACCGGTACGCATGATCCGTTCCTGTGCTGTACCGAACAGTACGAGTACTGCTGGTACCGGCCGGTACGGTGATTGGTAGTTGTCTTCGGAAGTTACACTAGGCAGTACGTACTCGTACGTACGTACCTCCGGACAGGGTTCATCCCGCCCGCCCCTTCCGTCCTCCGCACGAGTACTACTACCAGTACGTATCGTACGTTCATCAAGGAACAAGTCGAGAGCGACATTCGTATCGTATTTCTGTATTTTCTTCTTACAGTACGAGTACTTGTAGTCTCAGTATCAACTCGTGATCAACAATATGCATACGTACGGTACGATACTGTACGGGAGGCGGGAGGCTAGGCGGGAGGCGATAGGCGATAGGCGGTAGGGGTCGGCAACGCAACGGTATTTGAAAAACAAAAACGTTGTGGCCCAACGGTCAACGCCGTTGTGTAATAAAACATTAATAATTGAGGAAGAAGTACTTGATAGCAGTCCCATACCACCCCTATGATGTTCCTATTCACAAATCATTCAATGATGTGCCCATTTGTTTCTCATACCACCAACAATCAATTTTTTCAGCTACTACACCATGATAGTAGTACAAAGTCCTCCCTGCAATATCATGATCAAGCTTAGTTCGTACTAGATTCTTGCTGATGATCCTCTGTGCCCTACTAGTAGTACTACTAGTACTACTACTAAATATTCTTTCTGAAGAAGCAGATGTTGCTTGAACAGAACGATACGTCCTTGCTAGTAGTAGAATAGCCAATGTTGGAACAAATTGCTTCATTCTATTTCCCCACCATTGTAGTAGAGGGTTGGAGTGCCTGGTCTTGTCACTCTCCTTGTCCATCTTCTTGAATGATGATGCAAGTTGGGGATGGGACATGTACCTAAGCAGCTCCAGATTGCATGATTCCTTGATACTCTGAGGATTAGTAGACACTGCTGCAGCTTGCTCTTTTTGTGCCTGCCTGTCACTGCATAATCATCAAAGGGTCCTACTCTTCTGTACTACTAGTAGTGTCACTATCACCAATAGCAGAGGCTGCCACAGAGTCATTGCTGTTGCTGGTAGCATGATTCAACTACTAGTATTCCAACAGTAATTGCAGTAATAGTAACAACAACTACTACTACTAGTAGTACAGAAGGTCTAAGAATTCATCTTGAAATTCAGTCTTGCCTAAATATTTAGTCCCATATGTGTTCAGCGTTGCATTTTTTAGTCCTGTATGGTTCAGTCTTGCAACGGCCAATGTGTACTACTAGTAGTAGAGTGTAGCCTTGCACTGTTGCAAAAACTTTAACCCTAGTGCAGTGCTGCAATGCTCAAATACCATTGTGTTGCTGACCCCTAATAGGCACCAGGCGATACTGTAGATGTAATCAAATGTCAAGTAGCACCGTAGTATGCATGATACAATTCGCAATCTCAAACCTCGTAGAAGGAATTTGCTATGACTCATTTGACTAGAATCTTAAAAAGACCATTGGAGAGGTCAAAACTAATGATGGCATACTGCCTTGTTGATATAATACTGTACTGCAGTACCAGTACAGCACAACACATAAATCACAACCCATCTTGCTTCCTTTTGAGAACATGAGTCACAATCTGGTAGCATTTTTTGTCCACTTCTGGTAGGATATCTTTCCTACTAATATGATTAAAGAAATTAAAATCCCTTTCATGGGACAGCATTCAGAACCAGTACTGCTGGTAAGAGTGCTATGGCTGAGTACTACTAGCTAATAGCACTTGTACGTAGAGGCAGAGGGGAACAGCAAGCTCCAAAAAACTCATCATGAAATAGCAACTTGTTGTTTCTTGTTGACCATGGTATTTTGCTCATTCTAGTATGCACTTCTACTACTTCAAATATAGTATAATCAACACTAGTAGAAGTAGGATTACAATATATGTCAACTCATCAGTTGTTTCTTGGTCAAAATCCATGTACCAGAACCTTATTTTTGTTGTGATTACTCCTTGGACTCCATACCACCATGGCACTAGCAAAAGAAGACTTTGACTTACTAGCAAAGGAAGTTCTTTGTTGGCCAGAGCATAGGACATGGAGCAATGAGAAAGAGATGTGATTCTAATTGTGCTTTGGAGCTTCAGCTGAACAAGAAGTAGCAGACTTGTGGAAAAGAATTGTTGCTCACAGACCAGTTGTCACTAGGGGAAAGACAAAGCATTTGCTTTGGGTGCTTGATTTCCTCAAGGTCAATTCAACTGTTGATATTGTTGGATGGCCTTCTCCAGAGACCTTTGAAAAAGTGATCTTGGTACTTTGTTGAGAGGATTGGGGAGCTGAAGAATGATCTGACTAGTCTTGACAATAGATACAATGGTGGTTACAGAGGGACAATTCAAATCAATTGCTTCATAAGTGTGGATGGAATAGATTGCCTCTGTATTTGAGCCTCAGACCAAGAAGTAGCTGTTTGCTTGAAAACTGGATGGATTGTTTTGGTAAAGGGTCCTTTTGTTGGAAGTACTGATGATTCAACAATATTCATTGAAGGATTAGGAAGACGCTTACATGCTGAAGAAGCTGTTGAGGTTGATAGTGGTTATACTAAAGATGCAAGACTCAAGCTTCCTGGGATGGGACTGACCAGTGAAAAAAGGAAGATGATGAAATCAAATGCTGGAAGCTGTCAATGGCAGATTGAAACAATTCAAAGTGCTTACTGCTCATTTTGGACACATGAAACCAAACAAGCAGACAATGGTGCAACAATATAAGCTGTGTTTCCATGCTGTTGCTGTTATTAAATAGCTCAAAATCCAAGCTGGGGCATGTGTCTTTGCAGATGGATTAGATTAGTACTATGTAAATTATTTCTAGTAGGAGCCAGCAACAACAACAATATTACCAATACTGTCTCTAGGAGGAAAGATATCAGCACACTGTTCTTATTTGCTGACAAGTGTGACTACTACTACTACTACTACTACTACTACTACTACTACTACTACTA